GCAGACAGTCACTGACACCGAGGCAAACACCCACACATACAAAGACAGGCAGACAGCCACACACTCACACACACAGACAGTCACACACAGGCAGACATTCACGCACACACAGGCAGACAGTCACACACACACACACAGGCAGACAGTCACACACAGACAGTCACACACTCACACAGACAGTCACACACAGACAGTCACACACACACACAGTCACACAGTCACAAACTCACACAGACAGTCACACACTCACACAGACAGTCACACACAGACAGTCACACACACACACAGTCACACACACACACACACACAGTCACACAGACAGTCACACACTCACAGGCAGTCACACAGACAGTCACACACTGACCTCCTTCTTCCCTCCTGCTTGGAGCTCCTGGAGGCTGGTTGTTGGGGAAGCAGGAACTCCTTCCTGCTTCCCATGCTGCATTAGCTAGGGCCCCCGCCGCACGCTTAGCCCCGCCGCACGTAAGCTCTGCCCCCGCCGCAAATTTTTATTTTATTTTTTTTCCCTCATCCCGGCCGGCCATGTGTGAGCTGTGCCGGCCGCCTGGCTCCCCCTGCTCCCATGGGGCTCTGTGCGGCCGCACAGCTCACACATGGCCGGCCGGGATCACAGGGCTGCAAGGGAGCCCAATGATCAGGGCTGTCAGACCGGCCCCAGGTGCGGCGGCCCACTGGGAAATTTCCCGGTATCCCGGTGGGCCAGTCCGGCACTGCACTAACACACACTCTGCATTCACTACACTAACACATACTCTGCATGCATTACACTAACACACATTCTGCATCCACTACACTAACACACACTTTGCATTCACTACACTGGCCAAGACCTTGTGCTTTGTCAGGGGCCCTAAAATTTCTGGTGGCAGCCCTGACTGGTAGTCATAGACACGATTCAAGATGGACGGAGAAAGATTAGGTGAAAACAGAAAAATTTGCATGTCATCAGCATGTTGTGACATTGGAAGCCAAAGGAACCAATTAGCTTACCAAGTGAGCCAGTATAGATTGAGCACAGTACTAGACTGAGGACAGAACCTTAGAGAACATCAACATGGAGGGGTTGTGGGGAAGACGTAGAGACAGAAAAAGAAACACTGAAAAAGCGCTTGGAGAGGTAAAAGGAGAACCAGGAAAGAGGAGAATCTCCAGGCCAAGGTTGTTAGGGAGGGGTTGGAGTGGATGAACAACAATGTCAAAAGCAGCAGATAGGTCAAATAGAATTGGAAGGGAGTAGTGACCATTGGATTTTGCAGCAATTAATTCAGAGTATACAGAGCTGGTTCGACTGACTGACAACTGTGAAATCCAGACTGAAGTGGGCAAGCAGAGAGTTAGATTCAAGGAAATCAGGCAGTTGTTCAAATTCTTATATCACGGTCATGTGATAACCTAACACACAGTATGTAAACCCACAGAAAACCCAAGGACGTATTACCGAACCTTAGATTGGTTTGGTTTAACTTAAGTAGAAAACAATGGTCAAGGAACAGTCAAAAGTCAGGATACCAGAGATCAGGAGAATGATACGAGAATAGCTGGGTCAGGATACCAGAAATGAGAAAGTCAAAATACAAGCCGAGTCAGGGAACCAGAGAACAGAGTAGTCTAAAGCAAAACAAGTCAAACCACAGAAATATCTATATAAAACACAAGGAGTACCAAATGGAACACAAGGAACCACAATAGGACAACAGACGCCTTTTTTTTTCAAATTCATCTTTATTGAGTATTTTCAAAAACATTTTTACAGATAGACATACACTCACAATCTTGTCATACAGTCAAGTGCAAAATTCTGATTGATCTAGCATTGTTATAAAATTCATATACTATATAGAATTATACAAATACAATCCTACCATAAACAAAACCAGCGAATTTGGGTGGATACTGGATCTCTCCAAAGGAAAGATAATGCATATATTATAGTGTCTATTAATCTGAAGCATAGCTTTTGAGGCTCTGTACAGGGGGGCAGTCTAGGGGTAAGTCATTCACAGGGTTAGTTGGTTCAGAGAATCATTGGCCAGGGTTAACGCTTACATAAAATAAAATCCACGGATCCCAGATTTTTTTATATTTATATAGAGACATTATATCTTTGTTTAGCTTTTTTGCCTCTCTCTGGAAATTAATTTGGGTACCTATTTCGATCCTTGTAGGAGTATTTGTATTTCTCCAATGTCGAGCTAAGCATATTTTCGCTGCAGACAAAATGTTAACACATAGATATCTATTTTATCTTCCTGTAACAGGTAGATCGATATGAAACAGGAAAACTTGTGGCGTAAGAGTGAATTCAGCCAAAAAAAGAGGGTTATTAATTGTCCTTTTTTTTTAAAAAAAATGTATTTTTTTGCAGTGCATAAATTAGGTACAAACAGGCTTGAGGTACCCCATCGGCATTCCTCAAGCTTTGTAACATTTTTCACAGGTGAGGTAAAGATAGGCAATGCACAATTTTTATATCAAGTTCATGTGTAATCATTAAGCGTTTGTTAGTATATGTAGTATTGAGGTGATAATAAATGCTATGTCTGAAATGCTTGCTAACCCTGTGACGTAGAAAACGGTGCGGTGGAGGTATTAAGATTGAGCCCATAGTGTGTAGCTTGTCAGCGTATGAATTGCTTGAGTGCGTTCTGAAGGTGTAGTGCTTATACTCGTGGTTTAGCGGGGTAACATAGAGGTCACAAATGTTGCCTAGTGTCTGTGAGGAAGGGTGACGTGTGGTTTAAACATTTTAAACAGGCATATAAGAAATCTAGTTTTTTGTTCTCGAACAAGCTAGGCAATCTTACCATGCTAGGAACATTTATATATTAGGTTACTTTGGCATATTAGGTTACTTTGGCATATTAGGCAATCATATCTTGCTGAAAACAATTCTATATTAGGCTATTCTGGCAAGCTAGGAAAACAGATCATGCTAATCAACAGTTATATACAGGGAGTGCAGAATTATTAGGCAAATGAGTATTTTGACCACATCATCCTCTTTATGCATGTTGTCTTACTCCAAGCTGTATAGGCTCGAAAGCCTACTACCAATTAAGCATATTAGGTGATGTGCATCTCTGTAATGAGAAGGGGTGTGGTCTAATGACATCAACACCCTATATCAGGTGTGCATAATTATTAGGCAACTTCCTTTCCTTTGGCAAAATGGGTCAAAAGAAGGACTTGACAGGCTCAGAAAAGTCAAAAATAGTGAGATATCTTGCAGAGGGATGCAGCACTCTTAAAATTGCAAAGCTTCTGAAGCGTGATCATCGAACAATCAAGCGTTTCATTCAAAATAGTCAACAGGGTCGCAAGAAGCGTGTGGAAAAACCAAGGCGCAAAATAACTGCCCATGAACTGAGAAAAGTCAAGCGTGCAGCTGCCACGATGCCACTTGCCACCAGTTTAGCCATATTTCAGAGCTGCAACATCACTGGAGTGCCCAAAAGCACAAGGTGTGCAATACTCAGAGACATGGCCAAGGTAAGAAAGGCTGAAAGACGACCACCACTGAACAAGACACACAAGCTGAAATGTCAAGACTGGGCCAAGAAATATCTCAAGACTGATTTTTCTAAGGTTTTATGGACTGATGAAATGAGAGTGAGTCTTGATGGGCCAGATGGATGGGCCCGTGGCTGGATTGGTAAAGGGCAGAGAGCTCCAGTCCGACTCAGACGCCAGCAAGGTGGAGGTGGAGTACTGGTTTGGGCTGGTATCATCAAAGATGAGCTTGTGGGGCCTTTTCGGGTTGAGGATGGAGTCAAGCTCAACTCCCAGTCCTACTGCCAGTTCCTGGAAGACACCTTCTTCAAGCAGTGGTACAGGAAGAAGTCTGCATCCTTCAAGAAAAACATGATTTTCATGCAGGACAATGCTCCATCACACGCGTCCAAGTACTCCACAGCGTGGCTGGCAAGAAAGGGTATAAAAGAAGAAAATCTAATGACATGGCCTCCTTGTTCACCTGATCTGAACCCCATTGAGAACCTGTGGTCCATCATCAAATGTGAGATTTACAAGGAGGGAAAACAGTACACCTCTCTGAACAGTGTCTGGGAGGCTGTGGTTGCTGCTGCACGCAATGTTGATGGTGAACAGATCAAAACACTGACAGAATCCATGGATGGCAGGCTTTTGAGTGTCCTTGCAAAGAAAGGTGGCTATATTGGTCACTGATTTGTTTTTGTTTTGTTTTTGAATGTCAGAAATGTATATTTGTGAATGTTGAGATGTTATATTGGTTTCACTGGTAATAATAAATAATTGAAATGGGTATATATTTGTTTTTTGTTAAGTTGCCTAATAATTATGCACAGTAATAGTCACCTGCACACACAGATATCCCCCTAACATAGCTATAACTAAAAACAAACTAAAAACTACTTCCAAAAATATTCAGCTTTGATATTAATGAGTTTTTTGGGTTCATTGAGAACATGGTTGTTGTTCAATAATAAAATTAATCCTCAAAAATACAACTTGCCTAATAATTCTGCACTCCCTGTATTAGGTTGTTCTGGCAAGCCAAGCATCGGCTGTTTCCAAGTCCTGTTGGCTGCCTCCATTAATATATCAAGGCAGGCAGGGTTTGGTGGTAGCTTGTAGCATCCAGCCTTTGTGCACTCTGTGCGGGCTATCAGCCCACTCCATTCTGAGGCTGAGTTGGAGAGTCCGTCGCTTCGGGAGAGACAGCTTGAAAGGTGGTGGCTAGGTAGTGGTGCAGGATGGGGTCTGGTTTCTCCGATGTGCTGGAGCCTTCCGTTGATCGGCTGTTAGTATGTAGTGCCGCGTCTTCATTGCTGGTCGGGGTGTGGTGTGCAACCATCCAGGTGTAGGGCGCAGCACGTTGTATGGGAGACCGGCAACCCGGTGTGTCTGAGGCACCAGCTTCCATGCATTATTTTGCAGTGGGTTCTTCTTTGATGCGGGTGCTGGCTCGCCGTGCCCCGTCTCTTCCGCCTGATACAGGCCTGCTCCTGTGTCGGAGCCAAAGTCCAGTACTGTGCACCTTGAGATGAGCGTTGTGCTGGGGCGCCATGTGGGAGGTTGGTTTGCTCGCACCTGGTAGCTGTGCCATGTGTTGTGAGCGTCCGGGACCGCATTTTCTCTCACTGTTTTCGGTGCACGTGGCGTCCGCCATCTTAGGTGGGGTGCCCAGGCCGTAGTTCAAGATGATAATGCCGCTGGGCCTGAGTTGCCTTGTGTTAGAACTCAACTGCAGCTTGTAGAACTCCTTAATTACAATAGTGAAGAAACTGAGAATCTTTAAATTATCAATACTGTAGCTTTAAGAAAAGAGAGGATTGCTGGCAATTAGAGAATCAAACGAAGTTTTAATGATTGTGATAAACTTAAGTGAAAAGCATATAGGTAATAATTCAATAAGAAGAAATTGCTGGTTATAGCAAACAATACAAAGTTCATCAATAAGTATTTCCTCACAGATGTATTGAATAATGTTCTTTAGGTTGATAGGAATAATCTTCAATAGAAATAGTTTGCAGGTAGCAGAGAATATTTGCAAAGCAAGAAACAGTTCATAGTGGTTAAGCTTGATTGGAGTTTTCCTCAATATAATTAGTGTGTATGCAGCAGAGAGGATTTGAGCAAGCAAGAAACAGTTCATTAATAACTGAGATTCCAGATAATAACTTGGAAGTTATACTTAAGATTAATGTGAGTTGTCCTCCAAGAGATCAGTATTAGAGTCCACTTGTTAAATGGTAAAGTGTCCGTTCTCCAGTAATCCTCCAGCGGATGAAGCATAATCCTTTTATCTTCAAAGGTTTAGGAAGGCTTGTGAGAGAAGCTTGTGGAGCCGGTGTCTATACCCGGAAGTAGGTCCCACAATCACCAAGCTCTTTCTCTCTGGCCCGGTCTCTCTAAGTAGTGTCAGAGGGCCGCGTCAGAAGGTGGCACCTTGCTGCTTTCGGAGGCACAGGGTTAGGACCAGGATCACCGCCGGTCTAGGGGGGGGGACAGGGACAGGGCCTCGCCGGTCCCGGCCTCCGGCCGGGCACTATCAAACAGGATAGCAGGGCAGTGGCCGTCCGTCCCACTCACCGCCGCAGAAGGCCCCATCTGGAGCGACAATTTCTCCTCCAGGGGACTGCAACTCCGGGAGTCAGCCTCTCCCTGGATCCAGTGTTCCCAGCAAACTGAGGACCGGTGCTGTCGGTCTGCCATCCCGGAATAAATCATGTTTTAGGGGCTTATAGAGTGGGAAAGTGCAGGAGCTGAGGTTGCTTGCGACCATCCAGCTCGGTGGTCCGGCCCCACCCCCGCCAATACATTTTTTGATGGGAGCCAATCTCGGGCATTCCCACCAGATGTGAATTTGTGTACCTGGATAGTTTTGGCAACGCCAACAAAAGTTATCTAAATTTAGGTCAACCATTGCCAGACGTGTAGGAACCATGTACTATCTTTGTGTTAACTTAAAGTATTGTTCATGTAAACTAATGCAGTGCATGGCCGTTCTCATGACTTGCCAGGCATTATTCCAAATCTCTAAAGAAGCGGTAAAATCACGTTCGCTCTCCCATCTAGAAATCGTTTTAGGTTTATTTAAGATAATTCTCTTATTTAAAATTTTGCCAACTCTGCCAATTGTTCTGATGTTAAGTGGTGTCTTATGCAGAGTATGTAGTAGTCCTGGATGACTTGTAAATTCAGAAGTATGAAAAGGTTTAATCCGAATTAGTGATGTCCCGAACTGTTCGCCGAACGGTTCGCCACGAACGGTTCGCCACGGACTCATCATTGAGTAAACTTTGACCCTGTATCTCACAGTCAGCAGACACATTCCAGCCAATCAGCAGCAGATCCTCCCTCCCAGACCCTCCCACCTCCTGGACAGCTCACTAAGAATGCAGCTTCACAATGGATGCTGTCCAGGAGGTGAGAGAGTCTGGGAGGGAGGGTCTGCTGCTGATTGGCTGGAATGTGTCTGCTGACTGTGAGGTACAGGGTCAAAGTTTACTCAATGATGAGTCCGTGGCGAACCGTTCGCAAACCGTTCGGCGAACAGTTCGGGACATCACTAATCCGAATATATTTAAATATTTCTCATGATGGAAGAGCATACTTTTCCTGTAGGTTGGAAAAAGATCTTAAAGATTCACTATCAGAAAGACCTGAAATTGTTTTAATATCATAATTTTGCCATTGTAAAATATCTAGGTCTTCTATATATAAAGTAAGAGAAAAAATAGGACTAGCTCTGGTAATATATTTTGAGATTTGTCCTTTTTCATTTCTCCTTCTGAATCTAAAAAACCACGTTATTAATGCCGATACTATGGGAGAGCATGCAAGTTTAGTGAACTTTGTGTAGGTCTGGATATCGCAACCCTCCTGAATTTATGTTTCTCTTAAGAACATCAAGAGACGCCCTTTTTATAAGGAAGCATCTTTTGCTTTAAGACCACGCCCCCCAAAACATTCTGGGCTGGTATTGAATATGTGGGACCGCAACATTGACGTCATGACATCGGCGCGTATGCGCTGTGTCATCAAAAGGGATGTGACTCCAGCGTCATCTTATGTGTAACAAAATACAAAGACTTTATATATTGTTTTGCCACAATTGTCTTCAGTATTTTTGGTGTTGCTAATCCCAACATAAAGATTTTCTCTTCAATGCCTAGCAGTTGAAGTTTTTATATACTTCCTCTCTCTCTCTTCCCATATATATGTACAAATAAACATATAGTATATAGTATATAATACATACTAGCAGGGGCGTACCTGGAGTATTTGGCACCTGGGGCGGATCCTTTATTTGGCACCGCCTCCCCCCCAACTTTGAAATGTAAAAAACAACTGCAATTTTTTTAAATGTATTTGGCACTGAACATCGAAACAAACACAGACACACAAACAGATACACAGACATACAGATACACAGGTATAAGTGTGTGTTTGCGTAGTGGATGCAGTGTGTTTGTGTAGTGGATGCAGTGTGTGCGCTTATATAGTGTATGCAATGTGTGTATAGTGAATGCAGTGTGTGTATAATGTATGCAGTGTGCAGTGTGTATGCAGTGTGTGTATAGTGTACGAAGTGTGCAGTGTGTATGCAGTGTGTGTGTATGCAGTGTGTGTATAGTGTATGCAGTGTGTGTGTATGCAGTGTGTGTATAGTGTAGGCAGTGTGTGTATGCAGTGTGTGTATATAGTCAGGGCCGGTGCTTGGATTTTTAGGTACATAGGCAATGATTTTTTCCCCCCCCTCCCCCCCAAAAAAAACATCTTCACCTATGTGCCTCTTAACCAGCCCCTCTCCCCTCCCCGACCATTAGTGGTCCCTTCCCTGTCCCTCAGTGTTCTTCTCCCCCCTCTTGGTGTTTCTCTCCCATTCCCTCCCTGTCCCTTGGTGCACCCCACACCCCTTTAGTGGTCACGCTCCTCTTCCTGGTGTGCCTACTACCTCTATTGTTGCATTGCCGAGCGGAGCAGATCCCCTAAAGGAGCTTCAGTTTTCTGTACCCGGCCGGACTGACAGGGAGTACTCTCTCTTTGAGCACCTCCTGTCAGTCTGGCCAGGTACAGGAAACAGAAGCTCCTGTACTGCGCTCTGCTCCGCTACACTCTGTACACACTGACAGTCACACACTCAATGACAAACACACAGACGTCACTGACAGACACAGACTCATTGATTTGTCACACACTCATTCATTGACACTGACAGACCCACACTGATTGACACTCATTGACAGACACACTGATAGTCACACACAGACTCAATGACAAACATACTCTCACTGATTTGACAGACACACACTCATACACTGACAAACACACTCATCATACACTGACAGACACACTCATACACTCACATGCACACACACTCATACAATCACTCACAGACACACAGTCACTCACTCACAAACACACACACAGAAGCACACAGTCACTCACACACACACACTCACTCACAGACACACATGCTGTCACTCACAGACACACACAGACGCACAGTCACTCACAGACACACACGCTCAGTCACTCACAGACACACACACACTGTCACTCACAGACACACACACTCTGTCACTCACACACACTGTCACTCACAGACACACGCTCAGTCACTCAGACACACACACTCACTCACAGACACACACGCTCAGTCACTCACAGACACACACACTGTCACTCACACACACTGTCACTCACAGACACACGCTCAGTCACACAGCTGTCACTCACAGACACACACAGAGACGCACACAGTCATTCATGGACACACACACTGTCACTCACAGACACACGCTCAGTCACTCACAGACACACACACTGTCACTCACAGACACACGCTCAGTCACTCACAGACACACGCTCAGTCACTCACAGACACACGCTCAGTCACTCACAGACACACGCACTGTCACTCACAGACAGACACACTGTCACTCACAGACACACGCTCAGTCACTCACAGACACACGCTCAGTCACTCACAGACACACACACTGTCACTCACAGACACACACACACTGTCACACACAGTCACACATCACATACATTCACTAATAATTTTATAAATAAACATTTTCCACCCAGCCTCCCTACCTGGAGAGCTGGTGTGGATGCTGGATCGGTCCCTGAGGGCTGGGGCTGCTGAGAGGCGCGCGGCAGTGCTGTGATCAGGCGCGCGAGGGAGCTCTAATCTCCACCCTCTCTGCTCCCTCGCGGGCTGCCTACTGATGCTGCGGGATGACGTCATATTCCGGCTCCCGCGGCATCAGCAGACAGCGCGCGAGGGAGCAGAGGGTGGAGATTAGAGCTCCCTCGCGCGCCTGATCACAGCACTGCCGCGCCGGGGGTCGAGATGGTGGCCTGGCAGGAGGGAGAGCTTCCCTCCTGCCGGTCACTGAAATATTGCGCCCCCAGAGCCCGTGCGCCCTAAGGCGGCCGCCTGTGCCGCCTTATGGACGCGCCGGCCCTGTATATAGTGTGTGTGTGTGTATATGCAGTGTGTGTATAGTGTATGCAGTGTGTGTATGCAGTGTGTGTATAGTGTATGAAGTGTGTATGCAGTGTGTATATAGTGTATGAAGTGTGTATACAGTCTGTGTATACAGTGTGTGTGTATGCAGTGTGGGTATAGTGTATGCAGTGTGTATGTAATGTGTGTATGCAGTGTGTGTGTATGCAGTTTGTGTATACTGTATGCAGTGTGTGTATGCAGTGTGTGTATGCAGTGTGTGTATACAGTGTGCGTGTATGCAGTGTGTGTATAGTGTATGAAGTGTGTATGCAGTGTTTGTAAACAGTGTGTGTATGCAGTGTGTGTATAGTGAATGCAGTGTGTGTATAGTGTATGCAGTGTGTGTATAGTGTATGCAGTGTGTGTATAGTGTATGCAGTGTGTGTATGCAGTATGTGTATAGTGTATGAAGTGTGCATGCAGTGTGTATAGTGTATGCAGTGTGTGTATACAGTGTGTGTATGCAGTGTGTGTATGCAGTGTGTGTATAGTGTATGAAGTGTGTGTATGCAGTGTGTGTATGGTGTATGAAGTGTGTGTATGCAGTGTGTGTATGCAGTGTGTGTATAGTGTATGAAGTGTGTTTGCAGTGTGTGTACAGTGTATGCAGTGTGTGTATGCAGTGTGTGTATGCAGTGTGTGTATAGTCTATGAAGTGTGTATGCAGTGTGTGCATGCAGTGTGTGTATGCAGTGTGTGTATAGTGTGTGCAGATGCAGTGTGTATGTTGTGTGGAATAAGTGCTGCCACTTACAAGCCCGTCCCATCCTCCTCGACTGGTGGTCCGGTGGCACAGCATCACTGGGCAGTGAAGAGGGGCCCAGTACTCTCCATGCTCGTTTCCCATCCAGCAGCAGCAGAATCCTCTGTTCTCGCGATCCGCGAGAGCGTTGCTGCGGATCGCGAGAACAGAGGACCTACTGCTGCTGGATGTGAAATCGCGTGGATACTCGAACACGCGGCACATTGGTCCCTTTTCGAAATGCCGCTCATGTGAAAGTGCGCCCCGAGCACCCCCTTAGTGAGTGGTACCCGGGGCGGACCGCCCCCGCCGCCCCCCCTTAGTACGCCACTGCATAATAGTATATACTACTATTATTACTACTGCTTTTCTCCGAAAATAAGACATCCCCCGAACATAAGCCCTAGCTTATTTTCAAGGGATACTCATAATATGAGCCTGAGCCCG